ACCTCCAGATCTCGCTTGTGCTGTGTCTCCAGAACTGGACGCAGCACTCCAGGTGGGGTCTCATGAGAGTAGAGTAGAGGGGGAGAATCCCCTCCCTCACGTAGACAGTAAACTCTCTGAAAACTCCGTTAGCACTTTGGTTCTCTGTGCAGAACTGAAATAGTCCAGTTGGACTGAAAGAAAAGTTATGAAAGAATTACATCAAAGTATTCCCAAAACAAGAGATGTAAGTGCATGTGGTGGAGGGGCTGCTTTCTGATAGCAGGTCAGGGGTAGGACAGGAGGCTACTGTTTGAGCTGCTGCTCTGGCAGATCCATTTGGGAAAGGGGAGAATTGGATGAGCGCAAGGAGGATTTGTTGTTAATGAGCTACCTGCATTTTTAGCTAGAGGTGGGACCACAGGGCTGCTGCCTGGGTGGGTGAACATCTGTGCTCGATATCCTTAACCTTAGCTTGACCTACTGCTTGTGTCTGACTACACGAACTCACGCTGGTTTGTGCTGAAGCCAGAGAATTGGAAATGGTTTTATAAAGACCCAATCTGTCGGCGGAAGAGATTATAGTTGTCCGAATTGTGCTGCTGCAAACATCTGGCTTTCACTATAGCTGGCAGGAGTTGCGTGCCCATCACTGGTAGCTTTTTTTTTTTTTTTTTTTTTTTTTTAAAAGCCCTTTTGTGGCCCGGGGGGTTTTTTTTTTTTTTTTTTTTTTAATCTAAAAGCCTCTTTGCTGATACTTGGAGCCCTCCTCTAAGAGCTTTCCCATCTGCTGGATTTCCACTTCAGCCCTCTGCTGCAAGTGCACACTCTTATATCAATGGCAGCATAAAAATCCCTTGATTTCCTGCATAATGAAGTGCATTGGTGACGTAATCTAACCGGCTTTGCTATCTGAGGCCCCTCTGCCATGTAAGACATGGTCTGGGAGCTGGAGCCAAATGGTTGTTTCCGCCAGGTTTTGGCTGCTCAACACCCTCAGGAGCTTTACTGCCAGCTGAACAGTGCAAATCTGTTCTGCTCCAGGCCACCAACAATTGAAAAAATACATTTACCTTGTGTTTAAGTTAAATAAAAGGAAAAGCAAAGAAGGAAAAAGCCACACACTCTCTCCCCTCTGCTCTTGATGGAACACCAATAGTAAGAAGAGGCCATTGGACACAGCTTTGAAAGGAAAACTTTTAAAAGTTTGAGCTGGCATTTAGCCCCCAGTTTTGTGTCCTTAAAGGAAGTTCCCAGTGAGGGACCCCTCTCTGCACTTTTTGGGGATGTATCTCAGGGGATCTGAGTTGCTCTCCCTGCCCAGTGATGCGAAATTGATGAATGTGAGGATTTCAGGAGTAGGACTTACATTGGGTAAAGTTTATAAGAAACCAAAGTAATCCTACTAAAATGGCCCTGTCTAAAAAAAAGGTGAATTGCGGGTGAAATTTGGCGGATTCCTGAGCAGATCTTAGTGAAGGTGGAGCAGGACAAGTTGTCTCCACAATAGATGTTGCTGACCCGTGCTCCCTCTTCTGCAGGGCTGAGACGGTGTCTGCTCACTAAGCACTCACAAAAACAGTGTGTGTGTGGGGGTGCATGTCTTTGGGGGGAAAAAAAAAGTCTTCACCTTTTGATGACCTTGAAATTCTATTTTTGTTACTAACAAAACCTTGGTTTGGTACAAAAAACTTCGAGCTTTCTGCAGGACTTACATTTTTTTATTATTATTATTTTTTAATACCTATAATCAGATGCTGGAGTTTGCCAGAAAGCTGTGCTCATGTCTGCCTATTGCTTGCAGTATATCTTAGCAAATGCAACTTTTGCCCCACAGGAAAACACACTATTTGGGTTCTTCGGTTGTGAAATGCCAGTAGGAAAAATTTAGATGTGTAGATGTTGATTTAACTTAGAGGACTCTTCAAGTTTTCCTGCAAAGCAGTTATGATGGCACTCTTCTGCCAAGAAGACAGGAGACATCAGTTTTGTGGCTGTTCATCTGACTAGATGCAGCAAACGTAACATTAAATGTCAACCTTTTGTAATTAAGCTGGAAAATACAAGGATTAAATTTCCGTCAGAAGCATTGGCTAATTAAAGCATTGCCCTGCTAATTCCATGGGATGCTTTCACAGGAAAAATTGAGGCTTTCACAGGAAAAATTGAGGTTTTCAAAAGAAAAATTGAGGCAGAGAAAGACTCACTGAGAAGAAAAACAAGTTTTTCTCTTCTAGGAGACAGAGGGAGCAGAGCTGATGGCTTCCCGCTGGTTTCATCCATTCCACACCACCGTTGCATGAACTCATTGAGATGTATGATGTGTATTCTATTTCTCTAATGAATTATTACGTGCGTGCTTTAGTGTTGGTGGTTGTCATGGACCCATCTGGTATAAAATTAGGAAGCTGGACTAGTCACTAGTTGGAACTACTCTAGGTTTGGGCTAGGAGAAAACCATTAGCATCCCTGGTGACTTTCCTGGACGGGTGCCTTCTGAGCATCACAGGGAGCCGATTAATATTATCACTTTACTTCGTGGTCTTTACTAGTGCTGCTCTTTCCCGGGCAGCACTAAAATGAACGTGGAGCAGGGTGCTCCTGTGCTGGTTTGAGATGGTTCAGCTGGTGTGATGGCCACAGCCACTTAAGACCGGCAAATGAGTGACTTAAAGGACAGAAAGCAAGAAGCAGATACTTATCAACCCGGGGGCCATGCAAAACAGGTAATGTTAGCACTCAGAACGGACTCTGCATTTCTCCTGTGCAATATTTCTACCTTTTCCTGCAGACTTGGATTTCCAAACAGCATCTTACCCTCACCTCGAGGCACAGCCGAGACAGGAAACTTTGAGCCCGCAGAGTGCTGAGAGAGCGTCAGCACGCAAAAGGAGGGGGAGTTTTAAAATTGTTCATGTTTGCAGTTTTTTCCTGATGACAGGCTGGTGTTAGAAATGTCAGAAATGTTGTGATTTACATGCAACACCTGCAGCTCTGTGCTTTCCTCTCTGCCGTGGTGGTAACTTTAGCAACACATGATCTCTCTGTGATTGTACAATCCAGAAAGTTTAAGGTTTGCCTCTTTTTTCTTTTTCTTTTTTTTTTGTGTGTTTTGTTTTTTGTCTTCCAGCCTCCAGACGAGTACCACCTAATCTGGATCACGTCTGATCTCATTTCATTTATCGTAATTGTAGGAGTTTTTATATTCCAGAAGTAAGTAGCATTGCCGCAGCCCGAGTCTCATATGTTCGTGGTGTGTGTTTTTGTTCCGAGTGCGGGGTTGGAGACGGGAGAGAGGAGCACCGTGCTCCTTGGGCGCTTGGATTGCAATAGCAGGGGAACTGTTTATTAAAAAAAACCCATACAAAGACTGCAAAACAAGAAATCTGCATCTGGGATGTGACACTGAATTGGATGTAGTCTCAAAATAGTAGTGATAGATGGCTTGCTCTGCTTATAAATGCGTGTGGGAGAGAAACTGTAAATGCTTTAGGGAAATGGACGTTGAGAAAGAGACTAAAATGCTTTAAAGGAAGAAGGGGAGATGTTTTGAGATTCCACCATTATAGTCTTCAGAAAGAACATGTCATAGTTTTCTTAAATCAGTTTGTTCCCGTTTGGATGAAGAAATTGAAATAGCAAATTTAATTTAGCAAATCAAATCAGTTGCTTAGCCTGATGCATGGAGAAACCTCTCCATTTGCCAAAGAAAAGGGAGAGGGAGGATTTGATGAGGGCACAGCAGGAGCAGCCTCTCTGTTAGCCAGGGTCCCTGGAAATGAATGTGGAACACACAACCTAGGAGCAGGGCAGTTTAAGACATCAGGAGGAGGTAAATCAGCTTCCTAATGGCAGAGCTGACAAAGCTACCCTTCTCTTTAGTATACTGGAGGAAACTATGGTGTCCTCCTGGTGATGTGCCTCTTCCAGGAGGTGTTTGAGCTGTAAGTGGTGACAGTGTAATAACCCTCCATGGGAAGAAGCGTGAGCTCAGAGAGATGCGTTCCCTCCACTGAGAAGCAGCAGCCTTCTCCTGGGAAAATGCGTCATTCTGAAATCATAGAATCATAGACTGGCCTAGGCTGGAAGGGACCTTAGAGATGATCTAGTCCAACCTCCCTGCCATGGGCAGGGACACCTCTCAACTAGATCAGGCTACTCAAGGCTCCGTCCAACCTGGCCTTGAACACCTCCAGGGAGAGGGCGGCCACAACATCTCTGGGCAATTTATTCCAGAGTCTTGCCAACATCGTACTGAAGAATTTCTTCCTGAGATCCAGTCTAAATCTATTATTCTTCAAATTACACCTATTTCCCCTTGTCCTATCGCTGGACACTCTTGTAAAAAGTCCCTCCTCAGCCTTTCTGTGGGTTCCCTTCAGGTACTGGAAGGCAGCTATTTCCCCTGGCTCTAGAATCTCACCAGCTTTGGCCTGCACATTCCTTCCTTCTTGATACCTGAATTGCCTTTGCGTTAGGAGCAGCAATTTTAATTTGCTTCGACCTCATGAGCTAGGGGTTTTGCTGTCGTGTTGTACCAGATTATCTCCTTCTGTGACTTGGGTGCATAATTTTGCTGTGTCACAGTAGGCTGTTGCTCCTGCTAGCACCCACTATGGATTTGGCTTCAGGCCATGTGCTGGGTCTGTTTATAATTGTGACTAAATTCATGACTTGCACAGTCCTGCGGTGATAGACCTTTGACCAGCGGGTCCCCAGTCCCAGCATGGAGTGGAACAGCAGATCCAAAACTCTCAGCTTAGACTTTCCAACGATTAATGAAACCACTGGCCAAGATGAGTTAAATTCTTCACCCTGAGGGTGCTGAGGCACTGGCACAGATTGCCCAGGGAGGTTGTGGATGTTCCATCCCTGGAAGTGCCCAAGGCCAGGCTGGATGAAGCCTTGAGTGACCTGATCTAGAGGGAGGTGTCCCTGCCCATGGCAGGGGGATTGGAACTAGATAATCTTTGAGGTCCCTTCCAACCTAAATGATCTTTCTATGATTTAAATTTTTCTGAGAAGCCTTGTGATCTGAATTGTTGCCGATTAAACCTTTCCTCCAGAAGGGCCTTGTGGCTGTGTTGTCTTGAAACTTCTAACTGATGAATTTGAGGTTTAATAAGAGATGTCCCTGCCCTTTAGACCCTGTATTTCTCTGTCAGATACAGAAATGCACAGAGGAGTCTGGAGGCAGGGGCTGACCTTGCTCAAGAGCAGAACTTAAAGGCCAAGCTGATAAGATATTTGCAGTCCTTTGTGTCACCTCCCACAGTCAGTTCTAGAAGGCTTTCCTGAGCCAGACCCAGGAGACTCTGGCTGAAGAAATTAAAACTGATTCAACCTGCTGACTGGGAACTCTACGTCCCAGAGCAGGATGAAATAGTGCATGCTCAGAGAGAGAGAGAGAAGTCATAGCTACATAGACTTTGCAACAGCTCCACTCTTCTGCTCTGTATAGACTGAATTTCTCCCAGTTTGGATGAGTTTTGATGGAGTAGGCCAAGAGGAAGCAGGGTAAGGAAGGAAAACTATTGCAGAATTTCTCTTCCACCTTCAGTGCAAGTGTGATGCAGGTGAGAAGAATGTCAAAGCCGCTACCAGCTTTCCCCAGAGTCCATCAACCTGGAGCACTGATCTCCCAGCCTCTGGACTAGCCTCTGGTTAGGTATGCTGGGATGAAGGTTGGACTAGATGATCTTCAGAGGTCCCTTCCAACCCCGAACATTCTGTGATTCTGTGATTCTGTGACTTGATACTCTTTCGGTGATGGCTCGGAGAGGTCTGACCATGTGAGGTCCGTTGTAGCAGGACAAACTGTCATCTTTGGCATCTCTCCCTTGGGACAACTCAGCCCCAGATCTGCAGAAGGAAAAAGGAGAAACTGTAGTACCAGAAGTTGGACTTCTTTGCAGCAAAGGGCTTCCCAGAGCCTTGTGCAGGAGAGACCCATTTCCCTGCCATTCCAGTTTCTCCACCACATGGAAGAATTGCTAGCAGCGTTGAGGATAAATCAAAAATAAATCAAAGGAGAATTGCCCAACTACTGCCTGCTGATGTGATTCGGCTCTGGGAAATGGGGCTTGGCATTTGGCCTTCAGTGTCGTGGTTTGTTGGTTTTGTTTCGGGTTTGCGTTTTGTTGTGTTTTTTTTTTTCTTTCCCCTCCTCCAAGTCCTTTCTGGGGCAAACCAGAGCTGCTTCCTTCATGCAAGGATGAGGGGGTGGGTGGGAACAGAGCCACCGCTTCGATGTGCTCGTCCTCTCTCCTACGCATGGCTTGTCTCTCCTCCGTAGCCGTGGGTAGGGATCGCTCCCGCTCTTCTGCTTCAGCCCTGGTGAACAGGATCATGGCAGCCTCTCCAGAGGGGAAATACCGACTGTGATGACTTCTAACCAATCTTTTTTTTGCCTCTTTGCCTTGTTTATTTTCTTACTGCTCTGACTGTTGTGCATGTTCCTCCTCTTTCTCTCTCTGCTGCATTCTGGCATCTCACAGCTATCACATGATCAGGTAATTCTGGTGCTTTCCTCCTCTTTTCTTTTTCATTCAACCTTCCTTTCTCTCTTTCTCCCTCTCTGCTATGGCTTCACTGCAGATGGACAGGGCAGGACGCAGCTTTTCATGATGCTTTCAAACATCTGGCTTCAAAGGGGGAGGACCATAAGGGTCAGAACATTGCATAGTCCATAGCCACGAGCACCGTGGAAGCCTGATGCTGAAGCTGGTGGATGCTTTGAAGGCAACGTGACCTTCTGTCACAATGGTTCAAGTCACTGCCTTTTAAAATAGCCCTGTTCTGTGGTCCTGCAACAAGTGGTAATTGAGAATTTCCTAGTGGACGTAATGCTTTCTCCATGGAAATAATCCCATGCAAAATATCCCCTTCCTTTCTGCATTTACTGGAGGGTTTTCAGACCATCCTCTTCTAAATTGGCCAGTTCTAAAGAAAAGAGCATAACCTGTTCAATTAGATAAAGTAGTGCTTCTCTAGCTCTGGGAATGAATTAAGAAGGCAAATAGGTGGGAAGGTTTGGCTCATCAATTGCTGCAATCAGCATTTGGGATTTTCCGGGAGTCTCTTGCCAGTTAAACTGTGGTGAAACTGGAAATTGAGTGTGAAAATAAATAGCATCGCACCCAAGAGAATGAGCCTGGGAACGCTGAATTTGAAGTGCCATCAGTTGGAAACCCAGTGTCCTGTTTGCATTGGCTGTTTTGTCACCAGTCGTTGTCCATCCCCTTGGAGGGAAGCGCTGTCGCTTTTCTGCAGTAAAGCCTTCGCTGCGTCCGTACTCAGACCAAACTCTTCACGTGGTACCTTCTCCATCCCTTCCGCTGTGTGCCATGGGGTTGTATTTCTGAGGACCTGGCTACTCCCTGTCTGTGCTTATGCCCCTCTCCCTTCTCCCCACCCACGGCCTCAGGGGTCGGGGTTGACCACCTCCAAGCACTGCCTGCTCCCCGAGGTGCCTTGGACTTTGCAGCGCGATGTCCTCACAGCATCTCCCCAAACCAGGACTTGGCTATGGGACTGGGCTGAGCCCTTCTGTGGGTGCAGGGAGGTTGGGTGTTTCCCCTTTCTCGCCTCCCCCCTTGCTCGTGGATAAGGAGAAGACAGGCACGGAGTTGTCGGGCAGGCTTTAGGCAAGAGCGGTCGCAGGATGGGGACTCTGGTTTTGGCTGGCTTGGCTCTTTGCTCGCTCCATCTTATCACCTTGGTACCAACCAACCCCTTTTTCTCCCCAACGCACCTTTCTTCAACCCATCCCCTTTCCCTGCCATTTAGCATCTCCCCTCCAAACCAAAGGGGTCCCGTTGTGGCCCTAACACAGTGTATGCTGTCTCTGTGTTGTTGTCCCAGTATTTTTTAGTCTGTTCCCACCCTGTGTCCGTCTGGTCCGCTTTGATGCCAGCCTCCCAGAACAAGACCTACCTGCTGTCTGTCTGGCCTTCTTTTTGCACGCTGCTGTCCTAAACGTGGCTGATCACAACAAAGTCCGAGGGGGTAGGAGAGGTGCTATTTTCTATTAAACAAGCTTTCTGGAGACCCAAAGGCTACTGAGCACACCAGAGAGTCTTTTGTACGGTGTTGGAGTTGCTTTGTGGTTAAATGGTTGCTTTTCTAAGAGGGTATTTCAAAATACTCCTGAAAAATGGGGTGGCCTTCTCCGATGTTCTTCAAACTGAGCAATGCACCCCTGTGAGAGGAATCACTGACCCCTCGTGCATATTTAACCAACCTGGGTCTGACCGCAGCCACTGTGTGAGACGGGGAGCAGAGAGTGGTGGATGTTCCTCTTGATGGGAGGAGAAGAACCCTTGGTCCCTGCACCCCGTTGTGGCTGCCTCAAAAGAGCCCATGCCCAATATGAGACATCTAGGACCAATGGCCAAGAGACTATCATGCCTTTTGGCCACGCAGTCCAGCCTGATGATGAAAATCTTGATGTTGTGGGCAAAGAAAAAACTCATTTTGGGTCCTGATGATAGTTTAAGGAGAGTCTTACCCTGTGAGATCCTCAACATGTGCTTGCAGCCATGTTGACCTTAGTGGGATCTGCCTTCATGGGACACTAAAGGACAAAAATGGTTGTCTTTTGGGTCAGAGTGGCTCAGCTTAGATGATTATGAGAGAAGAAACACTTTTTAAAATTTATTTTTGTAATTTTTAGAAATATACTTAAATATCTTTGCTTCCTCTGTGTTGCTTCTGTCCATGGGTCAGTTGTGAGTTGTGTTGTGTTGCCATCCCACCCCTTCTTTTCTCTGTAGCAGAGCACACACCTTCATCTGTACCCTGGTCAAAGCCTGACAGTGTGGTATCGCTGGAATTTGGGAAGGGCCTGGAAACCCCATGAGATTGGCATCAACTAGATTCTCATAGGAAAAATGCAGAACCTCTTTCATGGATGTTGCTTTGTCAGGCTGGTGCTGTGGACCCAGGCTGGAGATGTGTGGGGCTCCTCAAATCCTCTGCTCCTGGAGCTGGGTAGGGGGTTAGAAATTCAAGAGGAGGTGGTTTTCAATTTTTAAAAAAATATAAAAATGGGGTTTTTTAAAAAGACCCCACACCTTCTGCTGTGTGGGAGAGCCGCTAGGTGGAGCCAGAAGATCAGAAACCCAGTAAGCCAACCTAAATCCCACCAAGTAGCCTCATGAGCTTAAAGGGTTTTTCCAACCTAAATCATTCCACCATTAGTAACATCCGTAACTTTTTTCACATGCAGTCAGTGATGAGAATAAAAGTCTGGCTAATTTGAAGTCGAGCCAAGTTCCCAGCAGCCTCATATTGTTCACGTGGTGGAAGTTTCTGGTGAACGCTGAGGCTTAAAAAAATGGAGGGTTTGTGTAGAAACATTTAAGAGGTGGCATCTGGGGAGACCAGTGCACTGGGAGAAGTTACACTTAAGGGCACCCTATGTGACACTGCCTGCACTGGGACCACTCATACTTTCCTGCAGAGCAGCTCATGTCGATGTCTTTGCCTTGTCTCAAGTTGGAGACCTTAAATTGCCTTTGAGCTCTCTTCTCCCACAAGTATGAGTGTGTCATGCTGTGAGGAGAAGGTTGTGGTTTCTTGGCTTGGTTTCCTGTTCTGACCCCAAGAGTCAGAATAGCTTCTGCCTCCTTTGGGCAGCTGGATAGCTGATGTGAGAGAGAGGGGTTTGGGACATCTGCAGTCCTTGGTGAAGTTAATGAAGTTGGGACACTCAAAGTGATTGAAAACAACCTACTTGTATGTCTGTACCCCTCTGAGATAACCCCTGTGAACATCCTCCCACCCTGTGGGGTTGCATAGGTGCAAGGGAGCAAAGGCATGGGGATCTCTGGGACTGGTTGGTCTCCATATTGTTGGTGGCCCCTTGCATTGAGGGTGCTCCCGTGGTTGGGATGTCCCTGATATCCCCCTCTTGTCTTGCAGGTGGCGCTTAGGAAGCATCAGGACCTACAACCCGGAGCAGATCATGCTCAGCGCTGCTGTCCGCCGGTCCAGCCGGGACGTCAAGATCATGAAGGAGAAGCTGATCTTCTCAGGTATGGATGGGTACCTTCCATACCTTCTCAGGTATGGATGGTCAGTCAGAACCCTTTGCTCTATCCCTCAGCTGTCACCCTGCTCTGTGTTGATGGAGGAGGTGGTCTTGGTGTGGGTGTCATTATCTGCTGGTGGGACAAGATGTGCAGCCTGACCCTGGTGCACTGAACCACCTGTGAGATATTGTCATGGCTCATCCATCCGAAACTGGTGCAGGTCTGAGCACTGATTTGCTGAGGAATCCTGTGCCTACCTTCCCAAGGTGTGCTATGAAGCTCTTGTACTGCCCCACATGATAGAGTCATAGACTGTGTTGGGCTGGAAGGGACCTTTAAAGGTCATCTAGTCCAACCACCTGCAGTGAACAGGGACGTCTCTAATTAGATCAGGTTGCTCAGAGCCCCATCGAGCCTGACCTTGAATGTCTCCAGGGATGGAGCCTCCACCACCTCTGGGCAACCTGTTCTAATCACCTCCACTCTGAATTGACAGCAGAGTGTCAAAAGCTCTGAAACCCATTAAAATAATGGCATAGGTCACCACAAATAGTTTGGGGTAGACCTGGAATTCAGCAGTACTGTGGATGCTTGATATCCTTGTGCTCATCCCAGTGTTTATTTGATAGATTCATAAATTACCAGGTTGGAAGGGACCTCAGGGATCCATCTAGTCCAACCCTATTTGTGTTGGAACATCTCACCCCACCTCTGAGAAAGATCTAAGAAATGCATTAGCTTTTAGCTTTGAAAGATGGAAGTTGGTGCCTGAAGCTGGAAAAAACTCACACTTGAAGGACTGGGAATATAATCTTCCTCTGAGCTGTGCCATGGGTTTTCTTTCTTTGTGTTTAGGGGCTGGAGATCCCAGCAGGGATCAGGGTTTGTTGTGCTGGGCACACACAGAGCAAAACGACGACTCGTGCGTGGGATGCAGGTCTGATTCTACCCTCCAGAGATGGACCCAGAGAGGGAAAGCAGTTGGTCATGGCAGAATTAAGCCTCCCTAATGTATTCTAGACGTACAAAACATCCTAAGATGTAAAATATCCTTAGAGGTAGGGGTTATGGATCAAACTTTTGTGCCTCTGGAGCAAATATTCTTGCTTAGGGTGGGTGTTTACAGTTGAACCATTGTTGGTTGCACGTTTTTCCCAGTGAAACCATTCTGGAATAGGAGTCTTCCCTTTTCCAGAATGGCTGTTTGGGTAAGGATTAAGTTTAGGGGTTTTTTTGTACCCTTTTCCCAAGAGGTGACTAATTCAACCTGTGACACAGCATCGTGTGTATGGAAGGTGGGAGTGTCCAGCTTTGATGCAACCCACATCACTGCATTTGGGTTGGACTTAGATGATCTTTGAAGCTCCCTTCCAGCCCAACACATTCTGTGATTCTGTGGTGGCAACGTTGTCAGGGACTGAAATTTAGAGTCCTTATTTTGGAGGCAGATCCTGTCTGGAACTGATTTTAAATGGGTGCAGCATCACTAAACCCAGATTGAATCAAACTGATCCCATGTGGTGGAACTGCATGCCTCGTGCCTCAGTTTCCCCACCCACGGAGGGGGGAATTCCTGGGATTTGCACCGCTGTGACGATGCTCCGGCTTTTTCTCTTCCTCAGAGATCAACAACGGCGTGGAGACCACGGACGAGCTGTCTCTCTGCTCCGAGAATGGTTTTGCCAACGAGATGGTCACCCCCACGGATCATCGGGACACCAAGCTGCGGATGAACTGAGCGGGGGGCTCCGCTCCAACCCCGGCGTTTGCTCCGGCAGCGAGAGCCGTGCTCTCCTGCTTTTGCTCACGGGATGGGAACCTTCGAGGAACTGCTGGTCGGGCAGAGACCCCCTTCCCATACCCCATCACTCGGCTGCTCCACCTCCCTGGTTGTGAGGTTGGGGGGGCTTTTTTTTTTTTTTGTAAATATGTAGAAAACCTGAAAATATTTTTTTTTTGAGTGTAACTTTTTTTTTTTCCCCAGGGCATGAGTGGAAAAACGATGTTCATTAAATCCTCAACCTTATGGCTGAAATTATTTGAATCTTGATGTGACAGCCTGAGTCCCCTTGGTGGGGGAAGGGGGGTTCTGGGAACAACACGTTGGACGTGTCTCCCCTTTCTCCCCCTTTTCCTGCTCCACTCCTTCCCTTGGTGCAGCGACTGTGTAGCTGGATGTTGTGATGTTCTCGTGAAGTGTTGGTTTTGTCACTTTTTTTTTTTTTTTTTGGAGGGGTTCCCT